CGCTTCCAAGATCTGACAAGATCGGGCCAGCCTGGGCCATTCAGGACCGGGCTTTTGGCTGTACATACAGACATTTAATTATGCAGATATATTGGGCTAGATCTGGCCAGCTATTTCACCCAGCCTTGCTGAATTCTGACCCTCACGACAGCCCCAGTCCCGCGGCCATGCAGGTCCCATGATCCATAGCATAGCCTTTCGGATAGTCAAAGGGGACCCTTCCACCAGTTTGCCTCAGTAGAAAAAGCTGGTTAGATCCAACCCGTTGGCCCATGTCCTACCACTGATTCAGCAAAGTGTGAAGCCCTCCCTTTAGGCGAAGGAGCCATCCTCTTGTGGAAGTTGAACTGAAGGGGGAGGAAGGGTTTAGACTTCATTGAGTGTAGGCGACTGGCCCTGCAAACCAACAGCCCTCTCTCGAACGCACCGACATTCCAAGGCTTTCATTAGCAAGCCAGGATTTTTGGTTCTCCCCTCCCTCCAAGCAATGCAGGCCACATTAGGGAGTCCCTTGAGTTTCCTTGGTGACTTGTCAGACTGCTGCGTAAAGAAGGACCCTCCAAACTCTGCCCAGAACACAACCTTCTGCATAAGGGCCAACAACACATGGCCTCGGATCCTGCAGGAACAGCATTTCAGGATGGCATTTGGAGTGGCGAAGTAAGAAAGCCATGCTGCATGGGCAGACATCCATCCAGTCAAGCCATCTGTATGAAAGTTTCCTTGATGGCTAACTTTTTAAAAAAGGAACTTTAAAATATATTGAATATCTCTTGCCTTGAAAAACCTACAGGGTCCCTATAAGTCTGCTGCAACATGACAATACCTTCCGCCCCAAAACAGGATCAAGCCACGCTTGCTGATTTCAGTGGAATACTGAAGATTTGTGCATCAACGATAAACCTGCAACAGCTACCCGCAATAAAACAAAAGTCTGGGTGTACCTTAAGGTCAATCAACAATCGTTTTGATGTGAGCTTACGTGGTTAGTTTTTTTTAGGAGCCACTGGACTTTAGCTTTATTTTGCTATGACAGATTAACGTGGCTCCACCCTTTGTTGTTCACAGGCCACTCAAAAGAGAATTTTTCTAACATCACTCTAGCCTTCAACAAAACATAAATGGGATCTGAGAGACTCTTCAAGCATTGTGACCCCCTTTACATAAGAACATAAGAGACGCCAATGCTGGATCAGGCCACAGGCCCATCCAGTCCAACACTCTGTATCACACAGTGGCCAGAAATACCAGTGCCATCAGGAGGTCCACCAGTGGGGCCAGGACATTAGAAGCCCTCCCACTGTTGACCCCCCCCCCCAAGCACCAAGAAGACAGAGCATCACTTGCCCCAGAGCCCCTATCTATACCTTGTGGCTAATAGCCACTGATGGACCTCTGCTCCATATGCCTATCTAATTCCCTTTTGAAGCTGTCCATGCTTGTAGCCACCACCACCTCCTGTGGCAGTGAATTCCATGTGTGAATCACTCTTTGGGTGAAGAAGTACTGCCTTTTATCCGTTCTAACCCGACCGCTCTGCAGTTTCATGGAGTGCCCACGAGTTCTTGTATTGTGAGAAAGGGAGAAAAGTACCTTTTTCTCTACCTGCTCTTTCCCATGCATAATCTTGTAAACCTCAATCATGTCTCCTCTCAGTCATCTTTTCTCCAAGCTAAAGAGCCCTAAGCGCTTTAACCTTTCCTCATAGGGAAGGTGTTCCAACCCTTTTATCATTCGAGTTGCCCTTTTCTGCACTTTTTCCAAAGCTATACTATCCTTTTTAAGGTGTGGTGACCAGAACTGCACACAGTATTTACCTTTTAACAGATGTAATCCTAGTAGAGAGGAAATGGGCTGTCGAGTCGCAAACAGCTCATGGTGATCCCAACCGTGGGGTGTTCGAGCCAAGAGATGAGCAGAGGTGGTTGGCCATTCTGCCTTCCTCTGCATGATCCTACTAATGGTCTTGAATGGTGGAGGGAAGTGCCATCAGGTTACAGGTGACATAGTGAACATGTAAGGTTTTCAAGGCGACATTCCTGACATAGTGAACATGTAAGGTTTTCAAGGCAACAGACATTCCTAGGTGGTTTGCCGTTGCCTGGCTCTGCATCACAGATAACCCTGGACATCTTTGGTGGTCTCCCATCCAAATATTAACCAGGGCTGACCTGCTCAGCTTCTGAGATATGACAAACTTGGGCCAGCCTGGCCTATCCAGGTCAGGGCATCTTGAATACTGTCTCGAATAGAAGGAAATAAAACAAGTGCTTTCTGGATTGTACCACCAGATCCTCAACCTGATATTAAAAAAAGCAAGAGACCTCAGAGTGTCAGTCATCTTAGATGCTCCGGTCTCCTTTCTGAATAATCGGAGGGATTATCATACTCATGTTTGGGAGGAAGGGGTGCGTGAAACATTCTATGGGGATTCCAGTTCATCGGATGTCTGCAGATGCAATCTCTCCTTCCTTATCACCTTCAGACCCATCCTATATGCATAGGGAGCATCAACTTGAAAGCCAGCTGCTCTTGTGCATCTCTGAAGGCTTTAGCCCTAAAGCATTTCGGAATTTAGGACTCGCATCCCAATGGTAAACATATTGACTCGAAAGGAAGACTCGGGGATTTTCACTTTAACCTGTTTCCAAGTAAACATACCCCGGAACAGCATGAGCATTTGAGTTAAATTTGAATGCATGTTTAAAGGTAAAGGTTCCCTTGCTCGAAAGCCAGTCGAGTCCGACTCTAGGGTTGCGGTGCTCATCTCCGTTTCAAAGCCGAAGAGCCAGCGCTGTCCGAAGACGTTTCCGTGGTCATGTGGCCGGCATGACTAAACACCAAGGCGCACGGAACGCTGTTACCTTCCCACCGAAGTGGTACCTATTTATCTACTTGCAATTTCTTGCTTTCGAACTGCTAGGTTGGCAGGAGAATGCATGTTTACTCATAAGTAAGTTTCACGGGGGGGCAGTGGGTCCTGTTGAACTGAATGGAGCCACACACGGATTCAGATTGTAGAGCTAAATAAATAAATAAATATTAATGCTTTTCAAATGCCCATCAGAGAGCTACAGTCTTACTTGCCCCCCATCTGCACGAATGCAAATTGATTTCACATTAACAGTATCCGTAAATATGAAAACATGGATTTCCACCCAAAAAGTTGCACTTCACAGGGTGAATACTCCGGAAACAGCACCCCCTAATCCCATTTTACTGAAGCATTTAAAAGCACAGAGCAGTGGGGCAGGTGGGGTCCGGTCTGTTTCCCCTACATCCTTTTCATCACCTACACTAAGGGGGGGGGGGACCGGAGGTGGTAGCTAATACTTGTACACAGCGTGTCTTTGTGTTCCTCCGCCAAACAACACCCTGTAAAACCTGGTAGGCGATTGGATTAACTCCCTTGAAAAAGCGCGTGTATGAATGAAGTAGGAAGTGTAACATTCATGATGCAATCGTCAAACCACGTGTCCTGGAGCAATATTGACTTTTATCAGAGCTACTTGCGGGTAAGTGGCTTGAACCTTGCGCGATTTTTATTTGGTTTTGGCACTTGGGGAGCCGGGCAGAAATCGGTTCGGCGGGTCTACTCACAAGTAAGCGCGCGCGCTTGGTGGACGGCCGCGCTGTTGGCTATTCAACTGGGCCTGCGATCTCGGGACATTTTGAAGTAAACGTGCGGGGCCAGTCCTGGTGTACACTTGTTCAGAAAGACATCCCATGGTGTGACTCCTAAATAAGCGTGCCCAGGAATCCCAAACCTTCACTTGGGGAGCTGTCTGCCTGCAATCCCTAGAATCCTCAAGCCTACTCTAGAGTAGGCTGGATTTCAGCCAGACGAAAACCGCCTCGAGAATTTCAGCTTTCCCTTTCGGAGAGGAGGTGTTGCCCTCGCTAAAAAACAAAAACCAGCTTTTACTCGTGAGCAACACCCCGCCACAGGCGTTTGCTTGCTGTGCACACCTGTCGCGAGCTCTCTGCAAGACTAAACAGCGGGGATCTGGGCCTTCGAGAGAGTAATTCTTATTACAAATATAACGATGGTGATAATTCTGCATTCCTTTGGGAGCCCATCTCTCCAGGACCGCCCCCCCTGCACGCGTTTGGCGTCTCCAAGAACTGATAGCTTTCGAGCGAGGGCTGAATGCGAAAGTCAACCGTGCAACAGATCGGACCCCTCTCCAAACCTTGTCAATCACTCCCCCCCCTCCCGTGTCCGAATAATAATGCCACCAACATTCAGATGCCTTTTGGGGGGTGGGGGGGCCACACAGAACATGGAGATCTTTTCTGGGGTGCGCCGCCACAACAACAAGAACACCGAGCCGCTGCAGTTGGCGAAGAGTCCGTCCTGCAAACAAGCAAGCAACCCCCTTCCCCGCCCCCGGCTGGTGTTGCCCTTTTGAATCCCTCGCCGCTGCCGCCGCCGCCGCTCCAAAGCGCTGGCAGGCCAAGGGAGCTGGCGTGGGGAGGGTTGAGTGAATGTAAGCCCGGCCGAGCCAATGAGCGGGGACCGGATGCGATATATCCTCTGGGACAACAGCTGCTCTGTTCCCTCCTCAGATCCACATGACGCCATTTACTGCTTCTTTTGCGGAGAGATCACCCTGCCTCCTCCGGAAAGAAGACGAAGGGGGGGAGCGAAGAAGAAGAAGCAGGGAGGGGGAGAGAGAGAGAGGGAAAGAAAGAATTTATTAACACTGGGGACTCCGTGGTAAAACGCTGGCTCTCCTCGAGCACGGATCTCAAAAGCTCTCCCTTCCTGCAAGCCGCCGCAACAAGCCCGGCGTCAAGCCCCGCAGAACATTTCTTCTTTTTTTCCCCCTTCCCAAACCTTTTTTCTTTCTTTCGCGCACCCCGGAACCCCTCCCCCCACCTCCGTTTGCAATCCACACGCACAAAAAGCTGCTTTCGGAGAAAACACGTACAACAACACATTCCTCCCGAGGAAGCCAGCGAGCGAGCGAGCCAGCAAGCGAGGGAGAATTTTCTCCCTCCTTTTTCCCCCCCCCCCCCCCAACAGCTTGCAACCGATCGGCACTGAGGGACACGCAAGCTAAGAAGGACTGCGCGAGATCTAGGGGGGAAGGAAAGGGGGGGAGCAAGCTTGGGGATTTTGATTTTTGTAAAAGAGAAGTGCCTCTTTGATGTCGTTGTCCGGGGCTCCCCCCCACGCACGATCCATTAAGAGAAAGTGATTTGGAATTGACGAATCGGCCTCTCGTTCATTGAGAGGGGGGGAAGAGAGAGAGACCAGGAAATTCAACGTGCGTGACTGCGGAGGAGAAGAAGGGAGAGGAAAAACCCTCACCCCCGTCTGGAAAACAAAACTGGGAGACTTTTTTCAATGTGCTCCTGATCCTTTTTTGGGTTGCAGTTTTATTCCCGTGTTTTGCCTGGAGGGACAAATCCAGATTCTCTCGTGGATGTTTTCCTGGTCGACTTTCAATGATTCTTTGCTTGCAACCTGGACTGAAGTGAGTTCGTGTTCGGAGCGGAAGACCCGCTTCTGTTCTCTTCTGCTCTTTCGGTTTCTTACGGGCTTGCCGGGGGGGGGGGGGGGTGCTCCCCCACACGGCGGAAGAAAATCCGAGAGGGAGGGGGGTCGAGGCGGGTTGGTGCAAAGCCATTTCCACGGTGACTTCCCCCCTTTGCAGAATAATCCGGGGCGGGGGGAGGTGTGACGGTTTGCAAACTTCGGGCCGTTCCTGGTGGGGGGTTTCCTCCTTTTGTGTGTGTGTGTTTAGCACCGTCTGTTATTGAACGGGGTGGAAAGTTGGGGACGGTGCACTGGGCGAAGGTGACGGTTTCCCGGGTGCGAAGCGGTTCCTCCGGGCTGGGAAGGATTACTAAACTTCGACGAGGGAAGGGGACCCCCCCCCTTCGTTCCGTGCCATCGGGGGGCTGGGGGTGGTTCTGAAGGGCGGGAATTTGCCCTCCGGTTGCAGCTACGCCTGCAGAAGGCTCGCTGCCCTGCTTCGGTGCGTGCAGACATGCAGCCCTGCCCTTCAGAAACGTGTTCCCGAGGCCCGGGACGGAAAGGAGTAAGGGGTGGGGAAGGGAGGAAGGAGCCCTCCTGCTTCGATCCTGTCAGATCTGGGTCGAGAAGTCAAAACTCTTCAGCGTCCAGCTTCACTTCAGTAGCGAGCTGGAGTTTGGGATATAGCCGCCCTTTTTAAACGTGTGCAGATGGAATGCGCTCGCTCCCTCTCTCTCCCTCGGTGCAATTCGGAAGTGAGCTGACGCCTCGTGTAAATGTGTTTTACGGGGGGGGGGTGGGGGGGGGGGGGGGGAGGCAGGAGTGGAATTAGGATTTCTCGCTTGCCTGGAGAAGGGCGCTTGTGTGACATATCCCTCCCCCTCCCCGACGCGCACAGACACAGTGTCTCTTCTTGAACTTTTAGAAATGACTCCCCCCCCCCCAAAAAAGAAATACTGTCTAAATTTTTGTCTCATCCCAGTTTCTCTGTGTGAGTGAGTGAGTGAAAGGCCGGGGGAAAAAGACTTCTGAGCTCAACAGCCAAAAGTTTCACCTTGCCCTTTTTTTTTTAAAGCGTGCAAGAAAAGTTGGTCGTGTTAAATGCAATCTCTTCCCCCGGAGATCTCAAAGGCACACACACCCCTTAAATTTATGTATTCCTTGATTTGGCCGCATTATTTGGCAGCCGGAGTGGCCCTGGAGTGGACTTTGGCTTTTGCAAAATCTGTGGCAATTGGGAGCGCTTCCGCTCCGAGAGAGAAGACAGCGAGAAGGGGGGGCGACACGAAACAGTCCAGGCACTTTTCGAGGGGGTGCGGCTGAGTTGGGGAGGGAAGAGAGTCAAAGTAGCTCCCCCCCCCTTCTCTCGAGATGGGAACGGGCTCCTCGGGCAGTAACGTTCCGGGGATCTGTTTGTTATGCAAAAAGGGGGGGGGAGAGAAAGAAAGTTGTGAGTGCTACTTTGTAATTCATGAGGTTCGGATTTGCTTGAAATTTACACAAATTAGACAAGATGTCGAGGCAGGGGTGCGTGCGTGTGTGTGTGGGGGGGGAGAGAGAACTCTTTGCAAAGCAGTGACTTCTTGAAGTTTGAGCTGGGGAAAGGGGTGGGGGAGGGGAGAAGCCAGGAAAGGAATCGATTGGCTCCGGCTTACCTGCCCGGAAGGTGCTTTGAATGGAGCCGATATGTAGGTCGCTTTACATAACTCAATGTGGGAAAGCGTCCATTCTCGACTCCTGCTGGGAGGGGAAAAGGAAACGCGTCTTTCCTGATAAGGCAATCTTATTAGGAGCCTCGTGATGCCTTCCCTCCCACCAGGATGTCTCCTGTTCATCTCCAGGTTGTCTGTCTTTCCCGTGGGGGGTTCCTTTGAACCGTTTTAGAAGCTGGCTTTAGAGAAGAGGAACAGGTTTCTCGGAATCTTCCGCACACGCACACACACCTGCTCGGCTGCTTTTCTTTGTTGCATGCACAGCTGGAATAAGTAAGGCAGGAGAAAAGGGGAAGGATTTCTGCTTTTTGCATTGCTTTTGGGCTGCGGGGGGGGGGAGAAGGACTGTGAGCAAGGATCTGGCATAAGGTTTGGACAGAGGTGCAGCCCAGTCTGATCTGTGTTTGCTCAGTAAAGTAGGTTCCCGGGTCCACCAGTTCAGTTGTTTCCCAGCAAGCCTGCAGAAGTTTGCACCATGATTCTCTCCCGAGAGTCCTCTTGTTCTGGGACCTCTGTAAGGACAGCACCCTGTTTTTCACTCAATAATTAGGGAAGATGATTTGGTTGTGTTTCCTTAAAACCAAGCCGGACTTGAATATGTTCAGAAGTCAAGTCCCAGGGAGTTCCACAGGTCTGACCCTCAAGTCAGGGCCACTGAGAGTCCAGTCTGATGTGTGTTGACTCAAACGGAGGGGAGGGACAGCCTGATTCTATAGATGTTTGCTTTAAAGCTCTGCCCATTTCCGTGGCATTTACTTTCCGTGGCATTTACTTCTGAGCATGCATGGAGTTGCAGCGTTAGATTGGGACTGAGCTTTACAATTCGGATTCTGCTTATGCAGTGAGAAAATCGAGTTTTCCAGTGTCTTGTTTCCTGGGTTAGGTACTGGCAAAGTTCAGTTTCCATATGTGGTGACGAGGTACGAGAAGCATTAAGAGGAACGTTGTGCGGTTTGTCGAATCCCTGCAGGATATTTGTGCCTCAGTAGCCTAAACCACCAAAACTGGTCATGGTCAGGAAGTGAGTGGATTATCTCTGGCCATTTGGAATGTGCAATAAAAAGCCTTGTGGTGTTTAGCACCCAGGTACTGATAACTTTGAATGGCAGAGCGTTACACAAATATAAAAGCTCCAGACCTGTGTGCCTTGCGTAAGCTGTGAGAACTCGGGCCTCGCTGGGACATTTCAGACTAACCTGAGAAGCTTTCTTGCTCTGTCGGAGTTGTTTGTGAAGCCCATGCAGAGAAACTTCATCTTGACATTTAATAGCAGTAGCAAAACACCCATAACTCATCCTTTTGCCTGGACCACCCTGTGGATGGGGTCACCATGGTTGTGACTCGACGGCACCTTTTCCTCCTCGTAAGCTTACTGGGCAAAGAGGAGGGTGATAGGATTGGTTTCTGTCATCGGATGTCCCTGGTTTCCTTGCAGACCTGAAATATTAGCATTTGTACAGTGCACTGTAGTCATGACAGTATAATCTTAATGGTGACCTTGTAAGATGAATCAGGGTAATGATCCCTGGCTTTTCAGATGCTAAGAGAGTGGTTTGTCCAAGGCCACTGAGGGGAGGGGCAAGAGGCTTCCAGGTTTGCAGCAAAGTTGCTTAATATCTGTTTGCAATCCTGCTGTGTGAAGGGAAAGCTACTGTTCATGGCTAAGGCCGCAGCGCTATGCATACTTGGGAGTTGGCTCCAGTTAACTGATTACAGCTAGCTTCTCTGTGGAAGTGCCTGGGAATTCACTGCACATGTGTCCACATCTGTAGTCTAAGAGGGTTCCTAGAACCACAAATTGGGGGGGGGGATCTCTTCTTGCAGAACATTTATAAGTAGGCCTCTTTTTAAAAAAGTTTGTGTGGATGTTGCAAGCAGATGTTTGGAAATGCATGGATCATCTAGAAACGTTTTAGGGAGCTGAGATGGTAGTTTCCTGCTGGGTGAATGCCCGGTTGCAAACTTGGATTGTATGCTGCTTAATGTGTGGATGGCTGTAAGTTAACTATCAAGAAGTGATTGCAAGCAGCTTTCTCCATTTGTGTGTGGAAAAATATGGAAGGGGCGGAGTTGCTTGAAGATTAGTAAAACACATCTGAAAAATAAAGCATTTTACTGGGTTGTTTTTTTTTTTGGTATGGTCCAGCCAGCTTCTTCTCTAGGAAGAGAATCACTCTGTCACCCAAAAATGGCTATGCTGGAGATCAAGGGACCAGTGTTCCCTCTAAGCTGAGTTAGCGTGAGCTAGCTCACAGTTTTTTAGCCTCCCCCTCACACATTTTTGCCTTAGCTCAGGAAGGATGGCTCCAGAGCAAACTAATTTATGCAGCAGCCAAATCGCTCGCTCACAACTTTAATGCCAGAAGCTCGCAAAGGAGAATTTTTGCTCACAAGACTCCACAGCTTAGAGGGAACATTGCACGGGACCTGAACGGCAAACCCCATATGGGATGGAAGCTTTAGTGAGGAGACGGAGCGAAGAAATAGGCTGGATCCAACCCTTTGTCTTTAGAAATACTTATCAGTGTATGTCAGCCGCAGAGCACCAGGGAGTGTTGGGCGTCCATGAGGAAGTCCTCATAGGTGTTATCACGTTCATGAATAGGTTCCACTCTTTTCACAGTGACATTCTGTTTCAAAACTCCATGTTTTGGTCCCTCGTTTACATATTTCTTTTGCATACGATTATGTAACTTGCCATCTAGTCACTAGGTATTGTGGTACAAGTAATGTTAAGGCACGCCATATACTAGGGAAGTTGCACACAACTGGAAAGACAGCTGTAAATGCTAATCTTCTCTTCTTTTTTGCCATAGGATTTCAGATGTTTTCTAAGCTTCCTGGAGTGACTACTCTTCAGGGTACTGATGGAGACAAGAGCTCAGAATGGCAGCGGGTCACAGCCCTTGCTACAGGGTCAGCATGACGGCGGGAGGCAGTATGGGGAATCTGACCTGCGGGATGTTTTGGCACAACAAGTCCACGTCTTGTCCTTGGACCAGATCAAGGCCATCCGAAATACAAACGAGTACACAGAGCCACCTACAGTGGCTCCGCGGCCAGTGGTGAAAGTGGCCCCCCGTCCACTTGTCCAGCACAAAAACGAAAGGCCGCACGGATTGACTGAGCAGCGTCATGTTAACAGGGTCCAGCATCCCCAGGTCCACACGTCTTCCCGGGTACCGCTGTCCCGTTCAATTAGCACAGTCAGTACTGGCTCGCGGGGCAGTACGAAGACAAGTACGAGCAGTAACTCGTCGGAACAAAGACTTCTGGGGTCCTCGTTGGGGACCGTCGTTGACGGGATAATCCGAGTGCAACCCAAGTCGGAGCTGAAGGCGACAGAGCTGAAGCCCTCTAGCAAAGAAGATTTGCACCTGCATGCCTACAGGTGTGAGGACTGCGGGAAATGTAAGTGTAAGGAGTGCACTTATCCACGAACCCTTCCCTCCTGCTGGATCTGTGACAAACAGTGTCTTTGCTCGGCTCAGAATGTGGTTGATTATGGGACTTGCGTCTGCTGCGTGAAAGGGCTTTTCTACCACTGCTCCAACGATGACGAGGACAACTGCGCTGACAACCCCTGCTCTTGCAGCCAGTCCCACTGCTGCACTCGGTGGTCCACCATGGGACTGGTCTCCCTCGTCCTGCCTTGCTTGTGGTGTTACCTGCCAGCCAAGGGTTGCCTTAAGTTGTGCCAGGGGTGTTACGACCGGGTCAACAGGCCCGGGTGTCGCTGCAAGCACTCCAACACAGTCTGCTGCAAGGTTCCCAGTGTCCCCCCCAGGAACTTTGACAAGCCAACATAGCATCACTAATCAGGAGTCGGAGAAAAGTAATAAGGATTATTTCTTTAACACCCTATGCAGCCAATGAAATGGCACTGTTGGGATGATTTGGGTGGGGGGGCGGAAGGGGGGTACATTGAGGTTTGCGGTGACCTGCTTTTCTGTGTGTGTTTGCATGGGCCAGCTTAATGGATATGCTTGTTAGAACCCACCTAATGGAGGTCACAATGGGGGGTACACTCCATGGGGACCCAAATATTACATAAGCTAACGCAACTGAGACACTCCTAGGCAATCTGTTGTGTTGTTTTGGTTTGTTTGTTTTTTTAAAAAAAATGAATAGTACATTTGTAAATTAGAACACTACTTCACCCCGGTCCCAATTCTTTTCTGCCAGAGATGTGCTATATTTTTGTATATAGGATATTTTCAACTGTGAAAAACAACAACACAAGTGTCATAGAAAATATGGCACAGGTCACAAAATATTATACTAATATGTTGTACATTCAGAAGAATGTGAATCAATCAGTATGTTTTTAGATTGTATTTTGCCTTATGGAAACCCTTCAATTGCAAGACTGATTTTTCTCCCTCCCCCCCACCCCCTCTTTGGACTTCATGTATATTGTACAGTTACAGTAAAATTCAGTCTTTATTTTCTAATTTTTTCAACATATTGTTTAGTGTAAAGAATATTTATTTGAAGTTTTATTATTTTATAAAAAATATTTATTTTATGAGGCATCTTACAAATTTCACCCCTTTTTATGAGGATGCCACAGTTGCTGCAAATAAGGGGTGAAAGATTCATATGTTCCCTATAAAATAGAAAATATATTAACGTTTGAAATTAAACTGGGCTGTTTGTCATTTTTTCCCCTCCCTTCTGGTCCTCTGAGTAGAAAAGTCTCCTGTGTAACTAAGGTTATATTCAAGTGTTTGAGGGGGGGGGAATCAGATAATGGGGATCTTTACATATATTTATCTGCTCATATAAGAAGCAGGCTTAATGGATGGAAGGGAAGCCACGTAAAAAGGGGAGAAGAGTCAACATGAAATGAGTGAGGATGTGATGGCAAGCTATGATCAGAAGTGGACGTTGTGATATACACATGGATGCCATGAAAAAACAGCAGTCAACATGTCTTAAGTTTTGCTCCCATCTACGATTGACTTAGTACTCCAATACCTCAATGTGTGCTTCCCTGCCAATGATGCATTGCAGGGGTAAGGAGATGCTTTATATCAGGACATAGATAAGTTGTACTAGGCACGATGGAGGAGAGCCAAACTAGCCACGCAGCTGTCGGTTTAAGCGGTAGCTGTGTGTCAACATGGTAATGTCTGATTCTGGTCTGTGTTCATTGCTTCTAAAATGTCTGGTTTGAGAAAAGTGCTCAAACCTCAGGATGAAGAGGCAGTTAATGAGATGAAGCAGTGAATGCAGAATTTATAAGTGAAAGAATGTGCCACAGGGAGTTAGCAATCAGTTTATGGCAAGCCTTTGGCAGGCAAAAAGAAAATTTGCTTTGTTGGTTTGTCAGAGGTGGCTTTTACCTCCGCTGAGGTCAGTACCCTTCTGCTGCCAAGTTTTCCACCGGAAGTCTAGAAAATAATTTACCTGTCTTTATTAACAAACTTCTTTTTCTTTTTGGTTCAAAACGTGCGTCTCCCAAGTGTACAGTTCCTAGTTCTGGTTATGTAGTTAAACCCCACAGATGTATGTTTCGGGAGTGTTTTTCTTTAAAGAGAGAGAGAGAGAGCGTTCCCATGCTTTGTGGCTGAAAAGAGGCAAAAAGGGCTTTTGTTCTCAACCCATTCATAAGCAGTGCACAAAGATGTCCCGAGCATCCGTTATTCAGAAAGACTGCTTATGTACATGGAAGTTCCATTCGTGAAAGAATCAGTGTCATCATTGAATGTTTACGTTCTCCCTTTCTTTCTTCCCTGTTGCTTTGAAAACTGTTTTTGCTGAATATTCAGAGTGGATAGTTCTACACTGTGTCTGAAAACTGTTGCTTCTGTTTGTTGGGATCTGGCAGAGCTTAGGGAGGGCCACCTCAGATGTTACCCATTTCCTATGTGGACTGCACGTGTAGAAAAACGCAAAAGCCACGTGGATTTTTATGACCAGTACGCATGATTTTTCATGGGCTGTTGCTAGCAGAGGGTAACTGGAATTTGCAAAAAGCTTAAGAGTGTATATATAGGCGGGGAGTTAGACCTGTGTGTATAATTTTTGCGTGTGATAGCTACCTGTGCAGGAGGGACTGTGGCTTTAAGCTTCTGCTTTGCATGCAGAAAGCCCTAGCTTTGATCTCTGGCAACTCCATTTACAAGGATCAGGTAGCAGGTGCTGTCAATCAGACAAATCTTGATATCTTGACAGAGGAGTGCTAGTGGAAGGTAGACTCTGTGTGTGTCATGTTTCTTCCCCCCCCCACACACACACACATGTGGAGTATAGGGTTACTATGCTGAGCCTGGCAACCAGCAGAAGGATTGGGGCACAGACAGGGCAGGGGTATGTGAAGTATTGCTTCTAGGTAGGCTCCAACGCACTGTCCTGTATTCTACTTCCTTGGGTTCCTTAGAAGTTCATCTGGGGTGAGAATATCAGTAATGGCACACAACTTTCTCTGAATTACTAAGCCTGTACTCCTATAACCTTCTCCATTTATATGGAGAAACTTAACAGGCTTGGTGAGAATCCCCTATGAACTGAGGCCTAGTTTTTGCTGTCAGCCTGCCCTCTGGCTTCTGCTTTGGACTGTGTGGATTGGGAGTAGTTTACACGGACTGAGTGTTCTTCCAACCCCACCCCAGATTCCCACACTTAGGAAACTAGATAGGGGGTGTAGACTGAAACCTTGGCATGTAGTATTCTTTGTGAAGGGGGATTTTTATAATGATGGACACTTAGTCATGGGAACTCCCCCTCACCTCCGTCCGCCTGTGATCAGCTGGTATAGCCTATAAACAGGATTACCACCTCAGTGAAAACTAGGCCTGGAAACACACCACAGTCCTTTGCCACACAGAGAAGGTTTTGAGCAAACAACTCCAGATGAAAAAAGATAGGAAATGTACCACCACTGAACAGTGCATATTGCATATCTTATTGATGTAGCTAGTGTGCCTCGCCATTATAGAATTCAAAGGGTGTCGAGATGGACTTACGTAGGTGCAAACCTAACATTGCACCTGAGAGTGGTGATTGTGCTCACTTAGAAAATGTGTGCCACTTTGAAAGGGGCTTAATCTCATCTTGTTCTTAAAAACACGTTCAAGTTTTAGGCCAGCTATCTGTGCAACTTGGAGTTTTAGAATGCATGCTTGAAGTCTGAATTCAGAATGGCAAAGGAGGCCTTGTCTATAGTTCTTCTGGGTAGAATCGTGCCTTTGGGCTTCTGTCTTTTTAATATTTCTGCTAATATAAGACAATATGGCAGTCAAGGTTAAATTCGGGCAAATGGCAGTGTAAAAGGGTAGACTTGATTTGTAATGCAAAAATTCAGTAGCAGTGGTGGGAATCCCAAGTTGCCATGTGCCCACAGATTTTTTGGTCCATGAATGGCACATCATTGTTACCTTTGAGGGTGTTCCTGACAGCCCTGATGCACAGCAACAACGTTGGAGGTGCTGTAGGGGGGAGGGAAAGGCCTATGACTGTTCTGTTGGCAGGTCAAAGCTTTTCCATGGGCAAAGCTCTTTGGCTTGGATCCTAAATTGAGCAAGAGTAGTATCACTCACTGAGAAGGGAACTTCCCAGTGTCTGCTCCAGTCTGCCATGTGGTTCTGCTCCCTGACCATTGGGAACAACATGGGAAGGGGGTTTAGTGGAAGGCTATAATGGGATGAGGGGGTTGCTGAAAACCCCTACCTTCTCTTCTGCAAGTGGAAAATGGAGATCAGGATCCTGCCCAATCCCTCTCCCATTTATTATAGACTCAGGGCAGATAATCTTCAACTTCCATAAAGGCAAAGGTTCCCTTGCTCGAAAGCCAGTCGAATCCGACTCTAGGGTTGCGGTGCTCATCTCCGTTTCAAAGCCGAAGAGCCAGCGCTGTCCGAAGACGTTTCCGTGGTCATGTGGGCCGGCATGACTAAACACCAAGGCGCACGGAACGCTGTTACCTTCCCACCGAAGTGGTACCTATTTATCTACTTGCAATTTCTTGCTTTCGAACTGCTAGGTTGGCAGGAGCTGGAACTAGAGATGGGAGCTCACTCCATCATGCGGCACACCCGGGTCTCGAACTGCTGAACTACGGACCTTCCACAGCCTGCAGTTCAGTGTCTTAACCACTTGAGCCACCGCAGCTCCTTCAACTTCCATAAATGCATGTAAAGGAGGGAGGGAGGGGGTGTGGCTCAGTGCTTGGCATGCACAAGGTCCCAGTTTCAACCCCCAGTATTTCCAGCTAAAAAGGACAATGCAGTAAGTGATGATGACCCTGGAGAGCCACTGCCTAGACAACACTGCTCTTGATGAGCCAAGGGGTCCGATTCAGTATAAGGCAACTTCATGTGGATGTGTGTAGGTGAAATGTAACTGGGTTTAAGGTCTAGTTTTGCACACTTCAGTCAAAGCTGGCTCATATTAAGAGGAATCCACCCATGACATGTTTTAAAATGCTCAGGCCTTGGGGACTCTCCAAAAGGGAAAGATTCTCTGATACCTGGACTCACCAAACCAGGAAAGAATTTGAAAAGAGTCTAGTTAGACATGAAGTCCAATGAAACGAAGTCGGAAGGAGCAGGAGCCAAATTGTCCTTTTTCATTTAGCAGTGCACAGGCCATGTGATTCTCGCTTCATGAATATTCTTCATGCAGCCAATGCGTTTCAGAGAGTGTGTCGCTGTTACACACTCTGAGGGTTAAAATGAGAAAATATGCATAGCTTTTGTTTCATAATGCTCATAATATGTGTTAACCCTTTTATCATTCCTCAAAAAAGCGCTCCCTATGTTTTAAAGCAGGCGACGACTTCCTTTGCCGCTTCCTTGCTCGTTAGGTTGGCTCCTGTGGTTCTGCAACCTTAGCCCCTTGCATTAGAGGAAACTGTACCATTAGTAGAGAAAGCAGTATGATCCTGCTCATTACATCCAAGCTCTCCATCACATCGAAATGTCCTTGCCCTTTATCTCCGAAGCGAATCTGAAATTTCTGATACTGTCTTTGGGATGAAGTTGCGCTAAAGTGAACGGGGCAATAACTTGGGAGTTCGACATGTCTGGTATCCATGTGTTTTAAAATTGGATGGTTTCCACTTACATGAGGGAGTACTTATGATGAAGTCAACAGAGCCTCAAGCTGATTTATCAGGGACAATTAAGTCTTTTGGGGGGAGGGGTCATGGCTCAGTGGGCAGAGCCTCTGCTTGGTATGCTGAAAGTCCCAGGATCAATCGCCTGGATCTCCAGTTAAAGGACCAGGTAGTATGTGCTACGAAAGACCTCACCGCCTGAGACCCTGGAGAGCGGCTGCCAGTCTGAGCAGACAATACCAATCTTGATGGACCAAGGGTTTGATTCAGTATGAAGCAGCTTCATGTGCTTATGTAGCATAGTAACCAAATGTTTCTGAAACTAGAAATGGTTTTTATAAATTATCAAAGGATTAATGGGGAGGGAATGAACTCCCCCCCCCACAAGGGTGCTACTTTCTCATGGCCAAAATGACGGGCATAATGTTGGCCAGGAAGCAAGCCCCAGGCATCAACGTCTACTCAGACCATCTTATATGATCCAT